ATGTGTATTGGCAAAAATAAATAAATAAGGTGAAACTCAAATAAAAGGGGGGAAGGAAATGGGATGCACAGGGGGGGCCCACAATTTTTTTTTAATGTATTTGATACAGGGTCTCACTCTGCAGCTCAGACTGCTAGTGATCCTCCTGTTTTCAGCCTCCCCAGGGCTAGAATTACGGGTCTGTCAGCACGCCTGGAGGCAGGGTTGGAATGGCATGTGGTGCCAGGGATCAAACCCTGGTCCCTTCTCACCAGCCCTACAATTGTATTTTTGATAACTTGTATTTGAATCAAAAACATCTAGAGGGAATATGACAAAATGTTAACTTACTTTGAGTTGGGATGGCAGATATGTAAATTATCATTCCTTTCATTTTCTAGACATTAAATGTTTGCATCTTTTATATTTTTGAATTAAACATTTAAAAATAAACACATATGAAAGACATAAAACTACAGGGATTGAAAACAGGTGATTGGGGGCCGGGGAAATGGCTCAGTGGAATAAGCACTTCCTTGGCAAGGGCTAAATAAGCACTTCTCTGGCAAGCACAAGGGCCTGAGTTCAATCCCTGGTTCCGCAAAAAAAAAAGAAAGAAAGAAAACAGGTGATTGCCAGGGTCTGGAGAGGAAGTTGGGGATTGACCAAAAGGAGCCCTAGCAGGTTGAGGGGAACCAGAACTGTTCCATGTCTGCTTATGCTGATAGTTACACACTGTACACATTTGTCAAAACTCACAGATGTGCTCGCTTTGTAAAAGGTAAATTTTATTATACATAGATCATGCATTCATTTTTAAAAAATAAATGCCACATAAAATTATTAATTGGGATTAATGTATTCCTAGTCATAATCAATACAATTTAGTTCAATTAACATTGAAACTAATAAGAGCAAGTGCCTCTATTTATACTGCACCATCTGCTGAAACGCCCAGCATTTTGTCCCTTCCTGCTTCCAAAGCAAGATGCAACCCCAGAACATCTCCTGACCTGACTGTCTAAATAAATTCAAAACAAGATTCCCAACACTGATAATATTACTGAAGTCCTTATAACCAGCTGGCTCTCAGAATGAATGAATCAAGAAGCACTCTGGGCATTTTGCCTCTGTTTTACTGGGGGCAATGCCTTCTCTCTCTGACACTGTAGTCATTTAAATTTTTCTCCTTCCTACATAATCTTTTCTCTCAAAAGTTTTTTCTTTTTTTCTTTTTTTTCTTGGAACCAGGGATTGAACTCAGGCCCTTGTGCTTGCCAGAGAAGTGCTTATCCTACTGAGCCATCTCCCCGGCCCCTCTCAAAAGCTTTCGTCCTATGGCTTTCCTTTAGTTTCACCCCTCCAGATGTCAGAGGCTATGCTCAGGCTTGGGGTGTCTTGGTTGTTCTTTTCACAGGGAAGAGTGATGCTCAGGAAAATGGACTGGAAGCTATGAGTGACAATGGCCAACTGTCCCTGTCTGTCCAGTACTGAGGGGGATCCCAAGGTAGGGAAGCTTCAATGTTCAAACCAAGAAAGCCTCAGGAAAAATTGGACTGAGTGTCTCACTCATCTCTTTGAACATGGTTTGAATTTGTCAATTTTGAGCTTCACTGGGACATTTTAGAACAGCTTCTTCATTTAGTAGCTCTGGAGTCTTCATCTTGGGCCACTCTCATGTTCACAGGATGCCACTGCAATTTCAGATATCATAATATTTCTTTTTTTTTTTTTTTTGCGGTACCAGGGATTGAACTCAGGCCCTTGCACTTGCCAGGGAAGTGCTTATTCCACTGAGCCATCTCCCCAGCCCTGTATTTTCTTTCCTTTTTTTTTTGGCTCAGATATCATAATCTAACAAGGCTAAAGAAGGTAAGAACAAGGTCTTTCTCCTAATGCCCTTGGCTTCTCTTCAGGCAAAATCATATTCCCCAGAAGTCTCCTGTGCACTTCTCTTTGCCTCTGATTGGTCAAAACTAGTCACATGCCCACACCAGGACTAATGACAAGAAGGAACATAATAAACCCTGGCAAAGACAAAGAGGAATGTAATAAGCTTATACCAAAAATGATTCTCTCTCTTGGTCTGAACATATTGACACTGGAACAACATCTGAGTTTGCTTAGTAAGAAAGGGCATGAATGTAGGTCGGTCATTACAAAAGGCTGCCTCAGCATATACAAAGTATTGACTTAAATCCTACCTGGAGTCTAGGGAGTGATGTTACAAAGGCATCCCACCTCCTCAAGTGCCCTAGGCCTGTCACCCTTCACGACTGGCCCATTTGGGAGAAAGCTCCTTATAAACTGAGAATGTCTGAAACCCCTTTGAGAGAGGCCTGTCAGTACGAAACCTCCAGAAAAGGCATCTCAAGAAAGAAAAGATTTCCATCACTGTGTCAAATAATGTGTGCTTAATGCCTACTACAGTATTTGGCTAGTCATAGTGCTAAGGGTTACAAACATGATGGTGTACAGGACAACGGTGGAAAGGAAACAACTGTCACTCAGGCAACTTTCTATCTTGGCACCTATAGACTCTGCATCCAAGGGAGACGAACCTGTGGAGGATGAATGGAAACACCACGAGAAATATCAGTAGCAATCTATTTGCTTCTTTTTATTCTCACAAACGTCTTTGCAAGGTCGTGTTAGTCGCTGGAAGGCTATTTCCACGGGTCTCATGGTTCTTGCCCCATAACTAAAAACATCCGGCAACCTAGCTGCAGAATCGTGTTGGCAGGTGAGTCATTTCCCACTAGAGTCCACCCACCCGGATCTCGCCAGTATCGCAGATCCTCAGTAGCTCCTCTGAGGCCTAATGAAGGAGGATTCCGGTGCCCTCAGAGCCACCAGGGGGCGCCCGAGGAGCTCAGTGAACTTCAGCATTGCCTATACACCAACCTCCCTGCTGCACCCCCACCTCCTGTTTGCAGTTTCAACTTTCTACCTTTTTTTTTTTTTTTTTAACATGACTACTTTATAACAGGGAAACTGAGGGCACCAGGTGAGCGGTGGCACCTCCCTCACACAGGTCAGATTCTGCCCATAGAAGAGCTCAAGAATCGGGGAGACGCTGACTGGATAAAGCCTAGGTGCGCTGTCTATTGCTTCTCAGAGGATTTCAAGCTTCCTGCCCTTCCCACCGCAGGGACTGGCCTTTCAGAGCTCTCGGTCAGCGCAGAGCACACACAGGCCAGGCACATTTTATGCCAAGAAGCACCTTGTGGTCCCCCCTGTTGCAGGCAGCTGAGTTAGATAGATACATTACAGGCAGACAGGAGTAGGCCCTCAAAGAGACAATGTGAAAGACAAGATGACTTTGTAACTTGGGGAGAAACAGACACCCCTGCTGTGCGCCAGACCTCAAGACAAAAGATCAAACAAATACATATTGTCCCTAAGGATAGACATCAGGGACTGATATTCTAAATAGGTCTCTCACCTTGAGGAAGCCTGGAAAAGTCACTAACTCAGCCCCCTACAGGAAAAGCCCCTGCTCTGTATTTATGCCCACTTGCTATGTGACTCGCTTCCACATTTGGTCCTGGATTCAGTCAATTTTACTTGAGTGATTCTGCTTGTAATCTTATTGGTTGATCATAGTTTTGTCCTATCTCATGCCTATCTAACGAGTTCCCATGTTTTCCACCTTGGACTCACCTTATCACATGGTTTTGCTCTATAAAAATCCCTAGAAGAGACAGATTCGGGGGCAACCCACTCAGGTCACCCCTCTGTCTCTCTCAGACAGGAGCCCCATAAGGTATTTTAAACCTATTTCTTTATTTATTTGTGTATGTATGTATTTAGTTCAAGGTCTCACTACACGGATCGGACTCATAAGGATCCTTCCTGTTTTTCAGGCTCCCAAGCGCTGCGATTACAGACACATACTACCACACCCAGTCCCAATTGGCATTTCAGCATGCCCCAGCGGCGGGGCCCACGCAGCAGGCAGGGGATCAAACCTCTGGCCCCTGCGTCTGCCTAAGCATCCAGTAAGGTATTTTGAGAGACTGAATTCACATTCACTTGACTTTTATTACAGCATACTGTTCCAGTCATTTTATTATTAGTTATTGCTTATTTCTTACTTGCATAATTTGTAAATTAATCTTTATCACAGGAATGTGTATAAAGGAAAACAAGAACAGATAGGGTTTGAGATGTTCCTTGGCCTCAGGCATCCACTGGACATCTTGCACCCCAGCCTACACAGGTAAAGGGAAATTTAAGCAGAGTGGCTTAAAACAATGGAAAAATGTTTTCCTCTCATGGCTTTGGAGGCCAAAAGTCTGATATTGAGGGTCCCCAGGGCCATGCTCTTTCTGGGACTCTAGGGGAGAATGCTTTCTTTATTCTTCAAGCTACTGGTGTGGCCATCCATGCTTGGCATTTCCTGGCTTGTAGATGGAGGCCTTCCCCCTGGGCTTCTTCCTAGCATCTTTCCTCTGTATCTACCTGCTTTTTGTAAGGACAACCATCACTAGCTAGGGATCTTGTACCCTAGTGACTTCACTTTAATTCAAGTTCTCCTGGGAAGACCGTGTCCATACAAAGCAACACACCGAGAAGCAGAGGTTTACAACATTAGCACATCTTTTGGATGGAAGGCAAGTCAACCTACAGCAGCGCTCATAATACAGGAAAGATAATGTTCAAGAGTTTAGGATGACAGACTTGCCCAACGGTCGTGCATGCTCATGGTGCACATCACTCTGAGGTTCCAGGGTGGAGCTATAGCTCGCTAGCCAGGCGTGGCAGCACATACCTGTAACACCAGCACTCTGGGAGGCTGAGACAGCCCGATCACAAGTTTGAACCCATTAGTGACTTAGAGAGAACTTGTCTCAAAATAAAGGTGCTGGAGATATAGTTCAGTGTGATAGTCCTGGGTTCAATCTCCAGGGCTGAGGAAAAAAGTTATTATTTTACAAAGAGCAATACATAGACTGGAAAACTACAACTGATGATTTTATTGGGCATAGCAAGTGTTATAACCCAAGTGAACATCGTAACTCAATTAACAATAAATTTGCTGCATTTGTAGACTATCTTGTATTAAAAATAAACAGGCACAATACATTTGCAGAGTACTTGAGCAAACAATCATGATTGGGCAGCTCCAGATCAGAAGTGGCTCAAGAGCGCCACCTTGGGGACACAACGTGCGAGAGGAGGCCTTTACGGGCCCAAAAATAGAGGGAAGAGAAAGAATGACTGCTTAGGGTTGGCCGCAGCTGCCTTGTGGGTTCTCTCTCACTGGAAACCCCCAGTTTACATGGGGCTTAAAATTTACCTGCTGCTCCTGTTTATCGAGCTCACCTTCTGTGTTTCTTTACAATAACACCTGCAGTTACAAAAAATAGCTCAAATTAAGTCCTCTTCATGTTTGTAAAATTTAGGTCACGAAGAGATGGCGCTCTACATTAACACTATGATCAGAGAGGCAAGCCAACTCCCCAAATGTCCAGGTAGTGTTGCTTAAAAGTTTCAACAGAGAGTGGTTATTATACTGCTACAAAACTTATCACAGAACTCTTTTCTACAGTGAAGCTCAGAGAACTCGTATGTATTGGATGCTCCCAAATCAGGCTCACACCCTTCTCGGGAGCACACTACAGCAGGAGGCTGCCTGGCCTCTCCTCTTCACCATGAACAATGGGCCATCATTCTTCAGGACTTCAGCCAGAGCACTCTGGGCCCTGCAGGCATCGTTTCAGCTCCTGCCACGGCCTCTCGATGAACAGTGTCAGGGCCAGCCCAGAGACCAAGGTCAGCACACAGTGTCCAGAGAAAAGGTAGAGCTGCAGGGGAAGGGCACAGTGCACAGTTTTACTCCACTATCCCTGTGTGTTCAGATCCCAGTGTGTACCACGCTGGCTCTATAAAGTGAATCTGTAGAACAAACAGTACTAAACATTAAAAATAAAATAAAGATGTTATCCTGGGCTGAAACTCTCCCTCCCTTCTTGTCCCTCATATAAAACAGAGAAAAATAAGACTCTTTAGAAAAAAAGCAAAACAGACCAAGTTGCTATCAAAGCCAGTCGTTTGCTTTGTCGCTAGAAGACAGTGAACTGCAGCATCATCATAGAGGTCAGAGCTGGCGTTCACTCACCATGTTGGTGTCAGTATAGTGAATAAGCGTCTCCTGAAGTCCATTGTAGAGGATGATTAGCATGGGGTGCACCACGTAGCAGGCATAACTGATGCCGGACAGGAAACTCCAGAGATCCCAGGACAGCATGCGGTTCACCAGACCTGGAGGAAGGGACAGGTGCTGACTCATCAAACCACAATCCCCTGCATGGAGACCTGATGCCTTGGAGTCTCCTCGCCTCCCTTCTGATCCTACCCCTCATACTCTCCTGCAAAGAAGGGGTTTCCTTTGTATTTATTGCTATAGCCCCACCATCATAATACAAATATACAAGAATGTTTCATATAATTAAGTGAATAAGCAAAGATGAACTCATAGACAAAAGAAGCATTTGCCCATGTGGGATCCAAATAGGACGAACCAAGGTGTGACTGCAGAACACATCACAATAAGGGGAAATTAAGCCAGCCCAGGGCGAGTGCTCAGTAGATCAAGCACCTCGTTTGCCATTTGCTGGCACTGCGTGCACCCCATTCTCACCTCAGGCCAAACAGGGAAGGAGAGAAAAACACATCAGGGACCTTAAACACACCACATCTCTAAGCTGGAGGAAAGTCCTCTCGCTCCACTTACATCCTCTATCTGCCTGATTCCTTACACGCCAAAGCTGACCTGAGAGAAACTCAGTCCCCCCTTATAGAAGGGGATCTTGGCAACATTTATGTCTCTTCCCCTCAGACAAGGAAACGGAGGCCCAAAATGCATGTGATCAGAAGTCTTCTCGTCCACGGCACTATATTAGTCTGTTTTTTCACTACACTGCTCTGCCTGAGTCTTTTCTAAGTTCTGAACTGGAGTCTCTGGAGAGACCACAAGTTTTTCTTTCAAAACCTGTATTTGAACAGAGACCAATATAAAAAACTAAAACAGACTGTATGTGGGGTTTTCCCCAAGTGTATTGGCATATCGATGTTTTTGAGTCACTATAAATCCTTCATCAAACACTTAAACAAACAGAAACTCCTTTGGGTATACATTTTACTTTAAATTTGTCACCCTCAAAAGGATAAGGCGAGAGCTCAAGAGTAGAGTGACACCTCCTACCTCCATAACCTTCTTGGCAGGCAAAGATGACCCAGCCCACGGCCCCTGCCCACAGAGTACGGTGAAGGGCCTGGTAGACGGCAGCAGCCACAGAAGAGACACCAGAGACGTCATCCACTATGTATGCCAGAGCGACAACCACAAATAAAGTCAGTAGGGAACATGTCCACCCCAACAGGGCCTGCACCTGTGGGGAGAGGAGAGGCAGTTCGCAGCCCACGTTAGCTGTTTGTGTCATTTAAGCATTATTCCTGTGTTCCGGTCACTCTGTGTGTGAACCTGTCCCTGCACGAATTTGACTGACTTGAAGGTGCAGATTAGTAGTCTCCAGCATTGGGAATGGTCTGGCAGAAAGGAAGGTGAGTGACTACAGAGGATGGAGTGAGGAGACTGTGTGGCGACAGAGTTCTCTTCCTTGGTCACGGTGGTCACTTAAATCTCCATGTGACACAACGTTGTCTAGAACTCTACACACAGGGCTGGTGAGATGGCTCAGTGGTCTAAAGCACCTACCTAGAACAAGCTAAGCAAAGCACAGGGACCGAGGTTCAATCCCCCAGCACCACATGCCAGCCAGCCCCGCCCCCTGGTGGGCTGAGCTGGCCACACACACACACACACACACACACACACACATAAAATTTAAAAAGAAAGAAAGAAAGAAAGAAAGAAAGAACTCTACACACACACGATGGGCACACATGAAACCAGTGGGTCTAAATGTATGAATTCTGCCAATGTCAAGTCCTGACTGTGATCATGTGCCGTGGTTATGGCACGCGTACCAGTGCAGGAACCAGGCTGAAAGGTCCGCAGGCCCTCTCTGCACCGTTTTGAAAACTTCTTGTGAATCTATTTTCATTTTAAAAGAAAGTTAAAAGAAAAAAGTAAACGAAGTGCTGCTCAAGTCTACTTCCACCACAGTGCCTTAATTGAAGAGGGCTTTTTTTTTTTTTTTTTTGTACCAGGGACCAAACTCAGGTCCTTGTGCTTGCCAGGCAGTCACTTAAGTCACTGAGCTATCTTCTCAGCCTTGTTTAGTTAGTTAGTTAGTTAGTTAGTTAGTTAGTTAGTTAGTACAGAGTCTCGATACACAGCTCAGACTCATAGCAATCCTGTTTCATTCTCCCCAGCACTCTGATTATAGGTGTGTCCCACCACACACTGTTTTGGGCTGGCACCGAGTACCCAGAGGGTAGGGCCCCAGAGATCAAACCTGAATCCTTGCACTAGCCAAGCAGGTGCTTAGACTGCCAAGCTATCTCCCCAGTCCCCTGAAGAGGGCTTCTTGATGGGTCCTGACCTCACAGCTCCTGCCTGGACCATACCTTCATCAGTGGAACATAAGATGGCAGGAGGACTGAGGCAGTGGAGTTGTCCTCTCAGAAAACAGCCCCATTATTTACATGCTACCACTGGCTGTTTAAGGCCGTGTCACCCTTCTTGACCTTTGTAGACTCAAATCCATCTTCCTAGGCTCTCTCTGTTTTCTATATTCTAGCTCTGCTGTAATAACGTCTACATGGAACTGACCCATCATTACATCAGTCCACTATCTTGTCTCTGAGGCTGCCTTGGGTTCCCAGTTCCTACCCTAGTTTCTGCCTCAGGGAAGGAGAAGTGAGCCCTAATAGGCTCTCTGCTGTCCCCCAAGATCCCCTTTATTCCTTGGTTAATTCCTTGGCTTCTGTAGACTTCTAATCTTACAAAATGCACCCCAGATGTATGTCTCCTTCCAGTCCTTACCTGCCTGTCTGCTCCTAGGCCACCTCTCTCCCAGCACATGCCTTATCTCATTCCTAGCCCATGATGCATATCACCTACCTCCAGCTCAGACTTTGGGTCCTTATTTTCCAACTTCTAAAGGTCTGAGTTGAATCTCTCCAACCTGTCTACATCATTTCTCCCACTCAGTTTGGCTGGTCCTAGCTCTGTGCTCCCTGGTCCTGACTCTGGGCCTGGAAGTGGTTCCCCACTGCCCCTCTCCATCTTAGCCTTTCTCCTTCACTCACACCCATTTTCTCCCCAGCTCCCACACCTGAACTACGCTGAAACAACTCTGTGATAATCTATAAGTGAGCAGTGAATCTCTAGGAGATTCCATAAGTCTAACCCATAAAAAAGTCACACAGCCCCTCTCCATAATTTTCTGCTGGCTAAACCCTATGTCTTGTGCCTGCCATGAGCAACACAAGGTTCTCCCAGCACCTTCTCAACAGCTTCTTCTCTAAAGTCTAAATGAGATATACACAAAACCTAAGCAAGCAAAAGTTGGCCCAGCAGAAGTTATAGCCTAATAGTACAAAAGGATTCCTGGTCCTTCTTCCATGGGGAAGCAAATGTTATTCATTCATTTACTTATTGAATACCTTAGTGAATCACATACCACACTTACTCTTAGCCAAAAGGCCAAGAAACGATCTTCAGTGACTCAGAACCAGATGCTGGATATTCAGAAGTGTGTGACAGATGGTACATTCAAGGAGCTCACAGACTCTGGGTGGAAGAATGTATTACCATGTGGTAAGAACAGAAATGCATAGAACCTGGTAGAACAGGAAGGAGAGACACAACCTGGCCCATGGGATAGGAGAAGACTTTCTACAGGAGAAAATTCAGTGAGCCTTTGTAGCTGAACAGGAATTAAGGCAGAGGAAAGGAGTGGGTAGTGGGGAAAGTTGGAGAGAGTGTGTCCCAGGCAGAGTGGGAAGTGTGAGCAGACACACAGAGGCTAGAAGCCAGGGATGGTTCATGTGTGAGAAGAGCAGAAGATGCCGTGAGCAGGTCAGTGCCACTGACATGCCACACCCAAGGCAGCAAAAACGATGACCCTGGAAAAAGGGTCTCACTGAGGGGCCCTTGAGGATCTTCTTGAATAGGCTGAGCTTCATCCTGGAAACCATTGAAAGGTTTTGCACAGTGGCAGGTCCGCAGCCAAAGTCACTTCTAACAGATTTGAGATCAACAAGGCTGGAGGCAAGCAAACTGAGGGAGAAATCAGGACAAGAGATGAGAAGAGCTTCAAGAAGGTCACTTACAGACTTCAGAGAGGATGGCAGGAGAAGCAGTCTGTCGGGCTTCGATTGCCTAAGCAGGGAGTAGTGAAGGAGAAGATGGCTTCCAAGTAAGGAGGATGGACGCTGATCCAGAATGAGTCCCCACAAGGGAGCCAATGAGAGCAATGTGTGCTCAGTACCCACTTGGAAGGCAGAATAATAGCTTCTTCCCTTCTGGACACCTCATGTCCTGATTCGCAGCTGGAACCATCAAGTAAGACCAAGAATCCCGTCTATAGAAAGCAGGACTCCAGCCTAACTCACTATCCCCTCCCAGAGAAGATATGGCTGTTCTGATCTCACTGGGTTTGCACTCCCACATCACTGGTTTCTTTAGGTCTGTACTAAAGCTCTGTGGAATGGATCCCACTGGACTCCAAATCTACAGCTCCACATGGGGAGCTCAGTAATGAGAATCAGGCTCTGGCAAAAAGGTAAGTCATTCCATCCCTCAGCGTGAAGAGACCTCCACAACACACTGCAGCACAATTAAGCGCCCAGCAGTCCAATTCCTTCTGACCATGGCTTAGAAGAGCTTGCCAAATGGGCCATGCCAACCCTGCCCAGACCCTTGCCCTTGAAGGGAGCTATGGAGAAGCCATACCTTAGTTTTGAGCAAGTTCGATTGATGGTTTTGATGCATGAAAATACTCAAAAAAAGGCCCACAAGAAATGGTCCACATCGGCAGTAGGGCTTGGTGTAATACTCCAAGAAATATAGTACAGTCTCTTCTTCACTGAAAAAATACAAGGAAATAAGGCCAAAGTTATGGCTGATCTGGGGCTAGGGAAGAGAATCCTTGCAGTGTCCTTTAGAGTAACTAGCAAACCCAAAGGTGGATTTGGGGCACATTTGTTTATTTCCTTCATAATGATCCACAGTCAGTGACCTCTTAAACCTGCCTTGGGTCCTGATTAGTTTGCTCAGATTCCAAGTTCCCTTGGGACCCTCCACCTGAGATCCAAGGAACTATGATGACTCCCTCTTTCATTTTAAAAGTAATTTCGAGGCTGGGGAGATAGCACAGTGACATATGTGCCCGTCTGGCAAGTGCAAGGTCCTGAGTTCAATCCGTGGTACAAAAAAAAAGGTCTTCCCAGTGACTGGTACATAGGATAGTTCTAAGAATGTGGCACCCAGGAAAGACTGTCCTGAGAGAAAAGAAGTTGTAAGAGGCCCAGGCTGGGTCCTTAGGTGGATACCAAACAGTACTCTTTGATGCTGTGGTTTTCAAGGCACAGTCCTGACACTACCAGCACCTAAGATCTTCCTAGGAATCCAAATCAACCCCACCCTACTAAGTAGGAGGAATCTGATGGTGAACCCAGCCCTCTCTGCAGTGACACAGCCTGAGGGGCCCTGACACACCTTGTTTGAGAAGCAACATCTACAGAGCACCTGTCACAGGCGATGTCCACCTGGCTCCCAGACCCACTGAAGCAGGATCTCTGGGCATAGAACCAGGGAAGAAGACTCAGAGCTTCCCTGGGCTTCCAAGGTGCATCCTGGATTGACAACCACTGGTTTAAATGTATCACAATTATCCCCAAAGCTAGAAGCAATCTCAGCCCTGAATCCCATCACAGGCCATGCAGGGAGGATCAGGCAGGAAATCTCTTGAGGACAAAAGAGTGGTTCTTCAACCCAGGCTACCCATTAAGATCCTGGGAAGCTGTGGCATAAGTCAGTGGCTTGGGCCCCACCCCCAGAGATGCTGAGGCAATCTGTGAGAGGAAAGGATGGAAGCATTTCGAGCTGAGAACAAGTGCTCCAAGGCTGAGAAGCACAGGGATGGGCAGGCGGAAGCCTCTGCTGGGCACCGGGGAGTGCTCACAGCGTGGAAGAAATGCTATGAGAAGAACGCAGTGTTCTGCCAGGAGGCTTGCGTGTAGCCGCTCATTCAGCCACTCATCTAGCCACAAATACATAATGTTCTACCTTCTCACAAATACATACTGAGCACTATGAGCAGACAGCATTCTGGACAGCTTAATGGGGTGGTGGGGAGGTCAGCTGCTCTAGGAAGGTAACACCTGCAAAGACATCTGGGAAAAATGAAAGACAAAGCCCTGTGAAATCTTACACTGATGAAAAAGCATAGATGACACTAGATGGCCACTAGAGGACCTTGAGGAGATGACCAGCATGTGTGGTTTGGGTCACTAGACTGCAGCTTTGAGATTGCATCAGCTGGTAATCCTGTCAATTATTCCAGTTTAAATACCGAGAAAATTATTAAGGAAGAATCACCATACATATACGTAGCTCATTGGGGAAGTAAATAGCACCATGAGTGAGGCTCTAGATTCAAACCATGCCTATGCCGCATACTACCTGTGTCACTTGGAAAAAGTTAACCCCAAGATAAGCGGCAGTCTTCACCTACGACAGAGCTTCCAAGATTTGCGCTGGAAGAGAAAACATTTCAACCACTTGGGGGCGCTCCTCCCTCTGAGAAGAATTTCAATGGACAAATGACTTGGAATGGTCTGGAAGTCTGGAGGCAAAATGCAATCAACTTTCTCAAGCTGGCTGAAAATTCCCTGCCTACTTTTCCCACCAGCCATGGGCACAGCGCAAACAGCCTAGCACTCTGCAGCCCTCTCTGGGAGGTCCTGCCCCGGGAAAGAGCAGGCTAGGAGACCGGGCTAGGAGAACAGGTTACTTACCTAGCTGCAGGTAGAGCCGCCACTGGGAGTTTATACGTCATTGTGAGCACCGCAGTGGCAGCGAAAGACAGCAGGAACAGCATGGTCCCAAGGAGGACAAGGACGAGTTTGTTTCTGCAAAGAAGCGAGGACATGGGGAGGAGCACCCCATCAAGGAGCCCCTGCCACTTGCTTTTGAAGGAGGGGCTTATGGAGGGGTGGGGGAGTCGGGCCGGGGTGGGAGTGTGTGAGGGGCCTTTTGTCTTGACCATTTGCTCACTACTTGACCCTGGAGGGGGTTCTGAACTCCCTCATCTGGACAGGAATGATTGCAACATCCTTGCCACCACCCCTAAAGCTTGCTATGCTAGGGAACGGAACCATGCCAGGGAATGTCCCTTGTCATCCATAACACACTATGTCTATAACACACTATGTAGACATACATGGTGGCTGATTTAGGAGAGAAATTAATTGTTCCACACGGGGTAGGGGGGCACCAGCAGGTACTCCAAGGATGAGGAGCGAGGGTAGAAGAAAGAAGAGATCCTGATGTCCCTGACAACTTGGAAGCAGACCTGAGGCAAAGGCCTAAGTGTGAGGAGTTGTGTAGGATTGGGAATCGGGTAGGACACAGGAAAGGAAGAGCAAGCAAAGCCCACACAGGCACACGCTACCACAGTGACTCATGGTTAGTTCTTCCAGAATGTTCTGAGTGCCATTTGAACTGTACTGTAGAACGGTCCTGCCGGACAAAAAAATAACTTTCTCAATATCTTTTATTCTCCCCATGCACCTTGATTCCTCTACACTTCAGGATCATCCATTGTGAGATCCAGAGTGTCCCCAAAAGGGTCCCAGTCATAATACTGACAGGTTCTGGGTAAGGAAGAAATTTGGGAACACTGGCTCAGAGCAAGGCACTGTCTGGCTGTACAGGTTCCGAACTGTAAGGACTGGGACTAAGTAATCTCCAGTGATGTAGAAATGTCAAACACAGGTTTCTTGAATTTTGAGAAGTAATTTATCACTATGATGCAAAAGCCCCGAGATATTCCTACCCCATGACCCTGTAATTCTGCTCAAGAATATGCATTGTGCAGAAATATCAGAGTTGAAGACAAATGTTTGCGATGAAAATATTTATCAGGCCATTATTTATGGAAGCATAAAACTGAAAATAACCCAACTATTTAACAATGTGAGAAAGTATAATTAAATTACTATATAGTTCACTTAGGAAACGGAATGTTATACAAACATTACTATAATGTTTACTTAAAGTAAAATCATGTAGGCAAATGCATATGTCGCAATACTATCCAACACAAGATAGTGAAGTTTATATGCAGAATTCTTTCATGTATAAAAAACTAAGCAGAGGGCTGGGGGTGTGGCTCAGTGGTAGAGTTCTTGCTTTGCATGCACAAGGTCTGGGTTCAATTCCCAGCACCTTGCACACACAAAACCTTGATTAGAAGAACAGCAACAAAATATTAACAGGAACTTCATCTATTGTGAGTGACAAAAGACTGGCAAGACTATTTTTCTCTTCTCTTAATCCTAATATTTTCCAGTGTTTCCCACACTAAACAGAGTTATTGTGGGATTACTGTTATTCTACCAAAAAGAATAAAAGAATCTCTTAAAGGAGGCATGAAGCCAGGCATGGCGGCCCATGTCTATAATTCTAGGACTTGGTGGCTAAGGCAGGAGGATCCACTACTTCAAGGCCAACTTGGGCTACACAGTGAGTTCAAGGCCAGCCTGACCTACATAAAGAAGTGCTGTCTCCCAAAACAAAACACACACACACACACACACACACACACACACACACGTATATGTATATAAGCTATAAACCTTCCCATGAATGACTGAGGCCATAAAGTGTTTCTAAAACTAACAAAAATCAAAGTGATAAACGTCCACTGTGGCAAGCAGGTACACCACCACATGGCTGAGGGGGCTGTAAATTACTTCATTCTTCCCGGAAAGCAATCTCACACTGTGTAACAAGCACCACAAAGTCGTTCCTGCCCTTTGACCTAGTAATTCCACTTGGAAATATGCCCCAAGGAAATAACAAGGAGAAAAAGTAGTATGTTCAAATACGTTCATCACAATGCCATTTATAATGGTGAAAAATGGGGCATAATGTAGGTGTCCAACAATAAAAATGGCATATAAATCCTATAACAGGCAGGCATGCAGGTTATGTCAATAGTGCAAGTGTTTATAAGAATAATCGGAATGGAAAAATCTGAGTCTGAGGTACAGGAAGCGCATTGATTACAACTCTGCAAAAACACACTGACTTGTGTACGACGAAGATTGGACGTGAGTATGGAAGAAGGCTCACGGTAGAGGATGCAGTATCTTCATTTCTGGAGTCAATTTCCTTAATTTAACAAAAGTTGTTCTACATGAACTGGAGCACTTTATAAGAGTTTTGGCAAAGAGGCCACAGGGGAAGAAAGCCTGTCTGGGGTGGACTCACTTGCCATAGATGAAGAGGACCACTGGCGTTGTGAGATGGAACTGGAAGTCGGTGGCCAGGTACCAAGTCCAGCCATTGCACTGGAAAGAGAGGAACAAGGTGAGTTCCCCACCTTCAGGTGCCCGGCGTGGGCCTCACCGTCACCAGGAGAAAGCGCACAGTGGGAGGGGCTGGGGGCCGCCATGGGCAGAGGAAGAAACTTGAGTTACAGCAACTTCACATCCTCATCCTACCCACCTTGAACAAGCCCGGATAGGAGATACCATTACTGCTATTTTATAACATGCAGATCCAGACAAGTTCTTTCTTTTGTTTCTAAAAGCCAATAGTAGCTGGTTTCCCAGGACTGTTGAGGGACCCGAACTCCTTTGTGTTATAAGAATGCATGAGATTATCCTCATGGTACATTTGGAACTCAGAGGGCTCAGCCTTATTCTCATGCATGGTTCCCTGCCCCCGCTCTAGGTGGAGAGAATGTGTTCACTTGGTGCCGAAGCTTGGCTCCCGTGCCCTTCCACAGGAGCTACAGAATTCCTGCACCAGATCAACTGGGACAGTCTGGCCAAAGCCATGTGGCTCCACAGACTGACCACATTGGTGTAATATAAGGCAGTTGCCTATATTTTGTCTTCCATATGATGAATTCCTGTAGGAAATTCTGCTCCTTGGGTCCCAGGGAGCCCAGACTTCTGCAACAGAAGGAGAAACTGTCCACAGATAAAGACAAGCCTTCCTGGTGGGGAAGAGTGAGTGAGAGGTCTGGTACCTCTTCTTCCAAGGATCTAAGGCAGGAAGCACCTCAAAAAGGAGACCAGCCCTGTCCTTGTAGCTGATTCCTACAAATAGTCCAAGTCAGTCTGCATCTGTGGAGGTGCTCCATCTACCCTGGGACCCGGTTGCAGACCCTCACCTGCAGGCAGTTGGCAGTGATGCGCTTCCGGTCAAAGGCACTAGGCATTGGGCATCTTGGTACAGAGTAGTATATGCAGTCATGAGGGACGTGCCACACTTCAGAATTTTTTCTTTTCAGCCCCACATTCAAAACATATGAGGAATTCAGTGAAATGATTTAATTATAGTTATTTTGCTTCTTTTCACATTGAGTTCATTATGAGGACACTGAGGCCTTGAGGAAACGACATTCCAGGTTTTGTGCCTGTGAACCTATGGTGTCAGGTCTGGCTTGAAACTGAGTGGAATTCAGTATGGTGACAGTCCAGTGTGCTGTCCCACCCCTGCAGAGGCTCTCTGTGCACAAGGATGGGAAGTGACCTTCCCTGTGGGGTGACAAGGTTGAGCTCAGGGGCCACAGTGGAATGAAAGTAGCTGCCTCGGGGTGTGCATCTAGACTGTCACCCCTCACCAGCACCACTGTGCCCCATTGTCTCTCTCACAGCAGCTGCCCCTGGCATAAATGGACAGGGCTGCAGCTACCTCTGCCATGGAGGTAGGCCTCAGGTCGACCCTTGGAAAGTTCACCAAGCCATGTGACCAAAAGACCCCCTCTGTACCCCTCTGCTCTGGCACCTGAAGACTCACCGCATTGCGAACCAGCACAAAGTTATTCAGCAGCAGCAAGTTCGTCCACCATGCTTGCCGGCAGTTGTCCCAGTGGAATTTGGGTACTTCCCAAACAGGTCCCCAGGGAACAAGAGGGAACAATCCAACCAACAAGCACACTGAGTACAGGTGGAGAGGCTGCAGCCTGTTAGGAGACAGCAGAAAAAGAAGGTGACGGTCCATGAGGGTTCTCTTCAGTCCCCTTGTGGGCACAGGGTAGGCTGCATGGGTGGCAGCCACCTCCCTACCAGGCCTCACAAACCCGTGCATTCAAAGGCCCAGAGCAACTTGTCGAGCACCGGTCCTGTGGTCCTGTGCTGCTGATGCGAACGTACCGTGATATGTTGAGCAAGCCACCAGGTCAGCCACTGTGAAGGGAGTTCTGTAAGTATGCGCTCAGGCAGCTCTTGCCTCTGTTTTACCTCCATAATCTCTGAGATTAGAAGGCAGAGAAGTTAGGGCGACTCGCCTAGGGTCGACCAACCAGACAGCAGCGCTGAGATCAGGTACCAGGCTGTGTTCTCCCCAAGGGGCTCACTCAGTACAAACCTCTTTCTCCTCTGTCTTCCTCTCTCATCCCTCCCACCCTCTTCCCTTCCCATCCTTCCTATCCTTCCTCCTTTCCCATCATTTCTCCTTTTGAGTAAGACATGAAGCAGCTACAAAGATGGCAAATATGACACAGGGAGTCTAGACCAGTGTCACTCAAAGGAAGTAGAACTGCAGAGCCCAACTGCCACCCACGTAGCATTTTCTTGCAGCTGCATTTTAAAGTTGAAAGCCACTGGTACAATCAATCTTAATATAATTTACTTAGACTATTACATCTAAAATATCATTTCAAACATTTAACCAGTGTAAGTTATAATAAGCCATTTTGCATTTCTTTTCCCTGAAGCTTCAGTTGCATGGCTAGGTTCCTTTGGCTCGGCTGTCTGATGGCAGCATATTGAACCAGGAATGTCTGGAGTTTGGAAGTGAGGATGTGGCGGGGAGGTGCATATGATTCTGGCAAAGATAATGGACAATCTGGAATCAGATTCCTCTTTTAAAAGAATACATTTTTAAGATGGGCACAGTGGGGCATGCCTGTAATCTGAACATTCTAGGAGGCTGAGGCAGGAGAATCACAAATTTAAGCCCAGCTGGAAACTTAGCAATTTAGCAAAACTCTGAAAATAAAAGATCTGAGGATGCAGCTCAATGCAGGGGTCCTCTGTTCAATCTCCACCAGGAGAGGAGAGTTCCTGAGGAGGGGAGGGAAGGGGAGGGAAAGGGAAGGAAGATTTAGGAGTGTTTTCCCTAATATATAGAATCTAAATTGTATTTTATAAAAGGAAAAGATGACATGACAGTGGGAGAGAGATTGTAACAAGATAGGTAAAAAGAAACCGGGGAGAGACACACAGTAGGAGTGTAGGAGGATGGGTGTAATCAACGTAGAGGCACATGTAAAAATTCATGAAACCCAATGCTTTATAAAATTAATATGCACTGATAGAATACATTTAAAATTTTATTTTGGGTTGGGAATATAGTTCAGTGGCAGTATAACAGCTTAGCAGGCACAATGCCTTGGCTTTGCTCTGCAGCAACACAAAATAAAAATAATACATTTAGAAACTCAAAGTAGTTTTCACTCAATGAGAAAAGAGGAAATGGCCCCTGTACTGCTGCACACCTGGGTAAGGCTGTCAGGGCCTGGTGGGGTGTGACAGTGGGGAACTGGCAGGACTTGGAATGTTGCCAATTCAAGGTGTCCCCCTCCCTCGGCCTGGTGGTGGAACAGCACCAAGTCTCGGGCCTGCACCTGCGGACCAGACCCCATCCTCCCTGCAGTGACGTCATCTTCCACAGGGCATGCCTGCTGGGCAGTCAAGGAGCTGAAGTGGAACTGCTGATCGATGCCAGAGAAAGAGTGGGTGAGTGTGATCGTTATCTGTGCTGTCAACTTGATAAGAAAAGCCGACTGACCGGTTCAGCACAGGCTGGGCATGTCTGCATGATGGGCTGGCTTCCTGGTGTGTTCGGCCCCTGGGTAAGAAACTCACAGAGGACCCTGCAGTGTGCTCCAGGCCTCCGGCTTCGTGCTATATCCTTCAGACCCCCAGCACGCAGACAGCCCTTTTGCACTTTTCCACACCTACCTCTGTAGGCAGCCATTGTAAGCCTACTTCATAAATCCTATATGGTGGCTTTGTTGAAATGCAAGCTGGGCGTGGTGGTGCACACCTGTAATCCTAGCACTCAAGAGGCTAAGACAGAAGGCTTTCTGCTAGTTTGAGGCCTGCATGGGCAACCAAGTGTGTTCAAGGACAGCCTGAGCTGCGTAGCGAAGCCCTGTCTCAAAAAGGGAGGGGAAAAAAAACAAGAACAACAAAAAAAACCCCACCAATCAGGCATCTTTCCAAACTCACACGCCTGCTTGGTTAGGGGACAGATGCCTCCCTGGGCCTGGGTCTGGCTAGCTGGCCATCTGCCTCTGGTCCCCACTTCCTTGGACTCCCATCTATCACCTCCTCCCCGAGGAGGAAGTCAGCCCTGCTCCCCACCAAAGCAGCACTTGACAGATCACAGGAGCTAGCAACCTTCTGCCCTACTACTGTGTTTCCAACTCTTGTGCACCCTGTCAGGATGCTCCTCAGGGTACCTGTGGGCCCCAGTGGGGCTAAAGTGGTGGGAGGGGCAAGGTGGCAAGGTGACAGGGAAAAAAAGTGAGTTCTAGCTCTGCCTAAATTTTTCCCACAGCCTAAAAACATGACTTCTCCTTTTTCCTCTTCCATAAACAGTGGATCATGGAGGCACGGCACTCACCTAGCAGGCCCAAGGCTTGGGGTTTGATCGCTGGCACTGCTGAAAAGTGGGGTTAGTCCTCTCTCCCAAGAGGTTTTTTTTTTTTTAATAAGTTTTGAGTTTTTTTTTAATTTTTTTTTGAACATTTATTTAGTGTGTGTGTGTGTGTGTGTGTGTGTGTGTGTGTGTGGCCAGCTCAGCCCACCAGGGGGCGTGGCTGGCTAGCATGTGGTGCTGGGGGATCGAACCGCGGTCCCTATGCTTTTCCAAGCTTGTTCCAAATAGGTGCTTTAGACCACTGAGCCATCTCTCCAGCCCCTCCCAAGGGTTTTTGAGAACCCAATGAGATAAAAGTCAAACTTCGAAACATCTATAGCACCATAGGAATGGATATGTACTATGTTTTTACCCAAGCTTTTAAGAGAGAGTCAAAGAAGGTTTTTAAGAATGGGATGCTGGGACTAGGAATATTCTAGGAGTATAAAAATAGATGTAGCTCAGTGATAGAGCTCATGTCTAAAATGTGTGAGGCCCTGCATTTGATACACACACACACACACACACACACACACACACACACACACAGAGTCCTAGCCAGAGTCATGCAGCTGTGAGAAGCAAGTGTTCTCCTACTTGTTGGGTGGAACAGTAAATTGGAAAATATCTGTCACAATGCTGGGTGCACCAACCACCATCTCCACTTGTAGGAATTCACCTCCCCAACACCCCCATGCACGTGTGCAACCATGTACATGTGCCTGTCTTCCTGACTAAAATAGCAAAACACTCGGGCACTCCCTCCATGCCCACAAATGGGGACAGGTTAAATACATACAATGGCTCACCACCATACAGTGCCACACAAGCCACCTCGAAGCTCAGTCCTGGCGGGCAGACAGAGAATGTGCCACACTTTGTCACTAAGTGAAAAAAGCACGTGCAAAATATAGTAGTATTAGTGCAGCCCTTTTGTGGGCAGAGAAAGAGTGCTTACAATTGTGTGTAACATTTCTACAAGAATTCACAGGGAACTGTTAAAAGCAGCACCATAGGAGAGATAAGACTGGAAGAAGATGCTTTATTTTAGTTGCAACTTTCTGCTACAGTTATACTCCTCTATCACAAGCTATAAGAAAGAAGAAGTTTGATGTGGCTCCTCCTTGGAGCAGTCATGCGGTTCTGTGGCACTAGAGCTGGTGCTCTCTGCTTCCCATTAGGTGATCTCTAGTCTGAGTCACTCCTAGCAGTTGGGCTTTTGGCTTTCCTTGAACCTTGCAGCAGCTGCTGACAGGTCTCAGGCCTTCTGCTGCTGCTTCTTTGGAGCCTGCCTACTGCTCGTGGCCAGAGCGACTCTGGCAAAATCTGACCACAGTGAGACCTCCCAAAGCTTCTGCCTCAGAACAGCACAGGGAGTTCCGCCAGCAGCGCAGGGCTCCCCACAAGCTGCCCTTGGCACTCCACACGCCTCGCCGCTCCGTCCCCAAGCGCTCAGAGCCAGAGTTGGGACCGTGTGTGCACTGGCATTGCTCCCCTGCAGGTCTCAACAGAGCTTCAGCTGGGGTCACACTGATTCCCTCCCTTGCTCCCCCTCCAATCCTTTCCAGAGTTCTCTGTCTCCACAGTGCCACCATTATCCACCAAGTTGCTCCAACTGGGGCTTTCTACGTCATTGATGGCCCCATCTTTGTTCCCACTGCCAATCGCCGGTCTAACCCTTCTCTTCTGCATGGATGCTGTGGTCAGTTCCTCCTCTTGTCCCAGCTTTCCCATGATCCTGCACACACCTGGCTCTACTCCTGTCCCCACCACCACTGCTCTGTGCTGCCTCCTGCTTGCCCAGCCCACCCTTGGATAAGCCCTGCCCCAGTCCCTCTCCTCCTGAGAGGCTTGGTGCAGGACAGCTGCTTAACCCCCACATCACACCCAAGTTATATGGGGAAATGGGCATACTGTCCTTCCCTGGAGAAGGGCAAGGCTTGATAGAGCTTAGAAGGAAAGATCATGGTGAAAACAGGTCAATAAAGGTCTTTCTTAGCTCACATCATACTCATCCTATCTAAAGGACAGAGTAAAAGGTAAATAACAACAATAGTAAAACAGAAGCACTGATTAAGCTTTAATATCCATTAGACACTTTTCCAAGTTCATTCCCTATGCTGTCATATTCCATCCTCATGAGTCCTGTGAAGTCAATACCATTATTTTCCCCCATCTTAGAGATGACAAACTCCAGCACAGAAATCCTGAAACACTTACAGTCACACAGTTGATACAACATTGACCTAGAATATGAGCTCAGTTGAACTCTATGGTCTGCTCTTGCCCTCTGCATTTCGTGAGCCCTGACAATGGCTTCAGCTATCTTGTGACAGGACAGTGTACTAAAATGGCTTGGAACAGAGTAGCAAGAGCTGGGGTCCAACCCAGTGGCAATCATGACTGAGGCACTGGATATATGCAGGAGTTGAAGCTTCCTTTCCTTCTTTAACTGGGACCGTCTCACTACACCAGGGCCATTCTGCCGTGGCAGATTCCACAGGCTGCACCTGTCCCCAAACCCCTGCTGCTTCACCCCCACACACACATTCCAGAGGGAGGCCGGCATTTCTGCCTCCCTCAGCTGAATGCCATGGTCCCAAAGATTCACGCAGCTCCTTTCCTGGTCACATTTTACCATTTTACCATTTCATACTCTGATTTATACGGTCTAATGTCTACTAACTTGCAGCTCTATGAATTTTCTACACCGTTCACAGGTTCTGTGGAAATTACCAGTATATTTATTTAAATCAGTTTCCTATCAGCTGAAAGACAGTTTTTGCCAGTGGAACATACCAACGTTCATGGCATTTGTCTAACTGGAATTTGAACAATAATAAAGCACTGAAAACCAAATATTTTGTTTTGTTTTGTTTGTAGAATCGGGGATTGAACTCAGGCCCTTGCGCTTGCCAAGGAAGCACTTATTCTACTGAACCATCTCCCTAGCCCCTAACCAAATGTTTTTAAAGGAAAAAAATAACTTTCTCAGTTTTTCTTAGGAAATTCTTCCAAAAGTGGGTTAAACATTGAAATATGAATTATTGCACAGAAAAATGACTTTAGAAAATATATAAATAAACCTACCTTATAAGACGATTAAACAAGTATCTGAATATGACCTTAAGGGTTATTCCTTTGTCTGAATTCTGCTGCATCTTTAGAAATGACCTTGCACTTAACCAACCACTAGGAAAGAAAAAAGAATTACTTAGCAATAATATACAGTTCACTAGTTAATTGATTAGGTTGTCTCAATCAAGACAGACTAAGTGAGGTTATGGTAATAAAACACCTCTAAGTCCCCCCACGTCTCTCTTTCTCTCTTCTTACTCATGTAACATACTCAGGGCCTGTTGCTTGGTATCATCCTCACTACAGGTGGATGGAGCAACCTTATCCAAAAGGCCATCAGTGACCACAGCAAAGGGCAAGAGCATCCTGGAGAGTCTCAACCCAACAATTAAATACTGCAGTGTGCCTGTGACATCCTTAAAGCTCTTAGCATGAGGGTTTGAAATGCTTTGCATAGTGGAAACTTGAAGTAACACTTGCCGGTCAGAGCTAGCAGCAAGGGCCAGGAAAGTGAAATCGTATTGGGCCCCTAGAGAGTGGGAAGCCAGACATCTCTGGCCAACAATGTGGGAAAGCTAAGACTCAAGATTATTCAGTGGACTTTCCAAGATTACAGTTAGACTTCTTAACCAACACACTTTGATGACACATTCATGGCCCGGTATGCTCAGCTGAAGGACCTGGAGTTACAGCCTTTGGATTGTAACTTGAAGGTAAGCTTATCTGTGAGTTTCCCAACTTTCTGACATTCATTGCAGTGAGCTGTGTGGGTATTTCTCTAAGGGACGAATGTGTTTTCTACTGCAATACAAGGCTATGTGTGTTGGGCCTGACTTGGACAGCGTCCTGGAAGCCTGGAGAATTTCTCTCTTCTTTGCCAGTTATATTTTCCTTTGAAAAGCTGCAAGTTGAAGTCACTGAAATAGGAACAAAATTTATAGACATCCAAAAGAGACTGCTGAGAGGTGGAAGTGGAGCAGCCAATTCTGCTTCTGGCCTCCCTTCATTTCACGAAAGGATGAATCTGGGTCATCCTTTCTTTTCTGCATGACTGGTACCCCTCCCCCTACCAGCCTAGTTGCTAAGCAAAATCTGGGCCCCCCTCTGTAAGAGCATCCAGTGCTCAGCTTCCCAGCTCATTAGAGGACAGCCTGAGATGACTGTGGGAAAACAGGCCGTGAGCAAGACAGCTGGTCACAAGGGGCTACAGCCCAGCATCCTGAAGAGACAACCGTGCAGTGGAGAGGCATTAAACCAGCCCAAGAGGGAGGAAGGATTCCAAAACAGTCCCCAGTAGTTATTCTTAAGGATCATCAGAAGTCTTCATTTTCACAAGGCATGATGGTATGTGCCTGCAAACCCAGCTATTCAGGAGGTTGAGGCGGGAAGATTACATGTTTAAGGCTAGCCTGGACAATTCAGCAAGACTCTGTCTGAAAATAAATAAAAAGAGCTAGAGATGTACCTCAGTGGTAGAACACTTGCCTGTCATGCGTGAGGCCCTGGGTTCAATCCTCAGTACCGCATAAAAAGATTTTGATCCCATTGTGTAGTGTCAGTGACATCTTGATTAAGACATTAAGACATCTATAGAAAACCTTGGTCCTCATCTTGGTTAGGGAAGTTTATATTTGTAATCCCATAGATAAGTTATTGGAATCCCATCAAGTTAATTCTGATCTACCACATCCAGTGCAACCCACGGCAAGAATAAACACACTAAAGCATATTTGTAGTTATGGAGAGCCAAGGAGTCCTAAACCCAGCTGGAGTGTTAGCTAAGTGGTACGAAGGCTACGACTCAGGGCTGAATCCAGGTTTTATTAATTTATCAAGAGGGCAGTGGACTGGCGAGGAGTGACTATAGCTGTGGTGGGAAGTACCTGTGTGTGTGAGTGCCGTGAGCTGGGCTAGGTAGGAGGCCTACATTTACCTCTGCAATATGCGAAGAAGGTTATGCAGAAAGGGTAACCTGCATTGCACACTTGAGATAGTATCTAATGTTTTGGGGTCAGTGCTTCAGCTCTGATGTGTAATCTTTCAAGCCCCAGGAACTCATAGCCTCTATCTGAGGCTCAAGACTGGCCTACAGTGTGGAGCACTGGCTTCACTCTGCACCCACCTCACCCTAGGGAGCAGCAGATGGGGGTTCTGGGGAAACAGGCTTGCAGTCTTCAAAGACTAACACTAGCACCTGGGATAGATATGCATTGCTAAGAAACCAAGGGATAAGGAAAAGTCCTAGCCAGCTCTGCATGTATCAGTACATGGAAATAAGTCAGGCCCAGCCAAGATGGAGACAACTGCTCCTCTTTTAAGGAGAATTGCCCAGGTGGCCCTCCATAGCTTCCTTGTGGAACAAACTACAGGTTGAGTATCCTATCTCTAACAAGCTTGTTTTCAGATTTTGGACTATATATACACATCCACCAAGAGGTATCTGGTTGGTGGGACTAAGTTTAAACACAAAATTCATTTATATTTCATGTTATCTCATCCACATGGGCAAAGGGTAATTTTATGGTATTTTTGATGTGCCTGCATTTTGTCTGTGGCCTATCACATGAGACTAGGAGTGAAGTTTTCCCTTTGTGGTGTCATGTGGGTACTCAACAGTTTTCAGATTTGGAGTATTTTGGATTTTAGATGAGGGAGGCCCAACCTGTCTTCTCAAGTTCTGGTTGTAACCTTACTAGCTGTGTATGTGGACTTGGACAAATTATTTCATCTCTGAACACTGAACTTCTTATCTGCAAAAGTGGAATGATATTGTTCCCCTGTTCAAAAGAAAATTTCAAATAAAAGAATATAGGTATCTTCTAAAGTAATAAAACAAAAACTAAAGGAGAGTCAGGGAGAGTGGTATGAGAAATGGAAACCAGCTGGTATACAGAAGAGAGCAGCCCTTTATCTGCCTTTAGACTGGCATCAGCATCTGCCCAGATACCCTGTCTGGGTTATCCTCAGTTCTTCCCACCTCGGCTCACACGATGCTTCTCAGGCCATAGTGGGCATCAGGATCATGGGGGGGGGGGGCTTGGGATAGACCAGATAGCTGATCTTGCCTCTATAAAATCTGCCTCAGTGGGGAAAGGGGCACCTGGAAATTAGCATTGCTGAGAAGTGCCAGGGTGGCATAGATCTGAGCATCATGGATTAGAGGCACAGCACTACCTGGTCCACACCAGTCTGGGAGTGAGAGCTGTAGTCTCTGTGCATTTGTGGTATTCCTGGACATCTGGTATTTCAGCAACCTTAACTCATGTTTTATGTTTCTTGGGCTGTCCAGTGATTAATCTGCCATTTCAGACTCCCATGGTACCCAAGGATAACCAGTGGCTTCTCTTTTCCTTCATCTCTCCCTATTCCTGGCAGCCTTTCAAGTCTCCAGATTGAGTTTGGGGTTTGGTTCCAGTCATCCTGATTTGTCCTTGCCAGCCTCCTTCCCAGGACACGGACCTCTGCCAGGCAGACCCATCTTACCATAGGACATTTTTTTTACCTGGTTTTGCTGGGACTCTGTGCAGAGAACAGCGTTCTGATCTTTGCTGTCTCATAGGCAGAGCTGCCCACCCTCCAGGGGCCCTGCTACTGCTCCAAGAGCAGCCTAGAGAGACTCAGCTGTGTCCTCTTGGAAACCTGTTCCCCAGGGAGCAGCCCTACTGGGCTTGTTGAAGTGCACTGGCCCCTGCCTGTCTGGAGTGCTCTCTTTTGTCACCTTGGCCACCTCCTAGCAGGAGCTGCTGTCCCTGTAGGCAGGGCCCAGCTCATTCTGCACTGTGCTTGCTGTGTATTATTAGAAACTATGACACTAATATCCTGGAATAAAATAGTGAAGTTGTTCATTTTGACAACAATGTATTGAGTGAGCAGTGGACTCTGGATTACTCTATGGAGCACTGCTTTAGGCATCTACAACATGGTAGATAAAGACAAAAATAAATAAATCAAGCAAAAGATGAGGTAGAGAATGGTGGGTAGGTTCATTTGACAGTGGTGAGGGCAGGAATGACTGGTTGTGAAGGTGAAAGTGGAGGAAAAGGCTGGAGGAGAACGGGGTGTGAGGAGCCAGGATACTGGAGGAGCAGGAGTTGCCAAAGCTGGGTGGGGAGTAGGATCCCCTCGTTAGTGCTCCACCTGGCCTGGGAGCTAGTTCTGTCCAGATCTGCCAGCTCAGGAGCTCTTATACCCACCCCTCCACATACTCAACTCCCAGAACTAATGCAAGAAAAGAGAATGCAGGTGAGCCTTATTACCTGATCAGGAAAAATGTATCAACCCCAAGATAGAATGGGCCACTCCGAGTATAAAGGTATAGTGGGTTTTTAGGCACCCTGGCTTTCCACTCAAGCACATTATCTGTAACAAACATATAAAACAATATTTTTAATTTGGTTAATGGAAGAAAATCACGTGATCTCTCTTTGCAGAAGAGAAAGATTTGCACTGGGAGGGCTTTAAGAATCATTCACTTAATAGAGAATTTAGGCAGGAATAAATAGTTGGGAATAAATGTAGTGACAGAGGACCTTTTTGCCGTCATGGTGATGAGTCCCCTTGGATGGTTTGCACATCCCCAGAAAGGCTGCTTTAAGCAGCCCTAGACTGGCTCCGCCCCTTGTCCTGCTCACTCAGGGGGAGGAGCTGGAGCAAGGACATAGGAGGTGGTAGAGAAATTCTGACGTACTGCTGACGCACCATGCATACCTGTCCTGTTTCACAGGTAGAAAAACAACATTACTTCCTGGCTTCACTAATCAGGACAAGAGGGAACCCTGGTCTCTGTCCAATGAGTTGCAATACTCAGGAATCAGGATTCTAAAACAGAAGGGAGCTGCTTATGGGGACGCTGCCAGGCTCCTGCACCACAGCCCAAGATGATCTCCACACTGGGGTTCTCTCCTCCCCAGTAATGCTGAAAGTGAAGGGACACCAGTTTCCACACCCAAAGAGAGCCATGCTGTCATCTGGCTGGTATGTCCTGAGATGATCCAGAGAAGACTCAAGACCCGGATTCCATTCAAGGCAGGGCAGGTGCCTTCTGGCATCTTTGTGGTCCAGATGGCTGATGCGTTCTTCTGCCAAGAAAAGCACTGGAGAGCGTGAACCATGGCTCCTAGAAAACCTGGGCAAGAGCAGACGCGGTTACTGCCTACTCCGAAGACCAGCAAACCACACCACCCTGTAATAAGAGTGGAAACACACAGAGAACTTGGCACGCACCCGAAGTTCCCACTCCCCCCTCCTCTCTGTGACTGCTCGACTTAGATCTCCATGGGCCCTGCTTGGCCAGCTGGGGAGGGGTGCCTGTACTTGATCTCCTTCCACTTTGAACTCTGGCTTTCCCTTACAGACCAACCTAAGCTTGGTGCCCCATAATGCCTTGCACAGATGGGCTGCCCTAGCTCAGGTCCTCAGGTGCCAACCATGACCACTACCCAGGCCTGCTTTCTAAAGAGGCTGCATGAAAGAGAACAAAGACTTTTAGAGACCACTTGTTATGGTTCATGCCTGGGTGTCCTCCCAAATCCTCATGCATTCATAGGTAGGGGTTTTCCAAAGTGCCAGACCTAAATGTGTGATGCTGAGATGAAGGATGTGTGATTACTAGATTAGTCTATTGACTTATTTGGCTCCATCCTACTCCCTGGTAGCCTGGATAGAAGATAAAAGGGTGAGAAAGAAGCTGCTAAGACCCTTGCTTGCTCTTGCCTGCCTGCTCTGCCATGGACTGTTTCTTCCCTGCAGTGCCCCTCTGCCATGCCACCCTGCCTTGGAGCCCGCGACTATGGACTGAAACCTCTACAAACTGTGAGCCAAAATAAACCTTTCCTCCTTTAACTTTGGGTGCTGGGTATTTTGTCTCAATAATGAGGAAAGTAACTAAGACACCAGCTGATCCACAGAGCCAGCATTCCACTTGAAATGCCATCCGGGGCTCTCCCAAGGATAAACCCCTTACAAATAATATCTCTAACATTGGTCAGGGCCCAGGCACAAAAACAGGAGAGAAAACCAAGCATGGTTAGGTTAGGACTCAGGCTGAGGCAGGAAGATCACCATGAGTTCTAGGCCAGAGAGTGCTACGCAGTGAGTTCAAGGCCACTCTGGACTACACAAAAAGACTATGTCTCAAAAAACAAAAATATAAAGGGGGGAAAAAAACATGAGGAAGTTTGCCTGGTAACACAATACGGGCTTTAGAATTACTCCTTGCTCTGAATCTGCCTATCTTTATTGACTCTGTGGCCTCTGGCAAGAAGGTTAACTTCTCTGTTCCTAAGTGTCTACACCCACAAAATAGGAATCAAATTTTTATTCTCACAAGACTGTCATGAAGAACAGATGTGACAAGGCATACACATCATTCAAAAAAGACCAACTCAGAGTTAGCACTCATAGGATCCCATCCTCTATTAGCACTATTTTAAGAATGTTTAATCCCTTCTCCTTAATTTATCTCATGTATTTTTCTTTAAAATTAGCTTGACTTGTTCTGAGAGCCATTGGAGTGGCTGGAATTTTGGAAAGAAGCCTCTAAAGGGCTAAGGAGATACCTCAGTATCTCCTGGCGAGCACAAGGACCTGACGAGCACAAGGACCTGAGTTCAACACCCAGTACCACATGTCATGCCAGCCCCAGAACCCCAGGCATGCCTTGTGGGCCACTGAAAGCAGGCGCAGTGGCACATACCTGTAATCCCAGCACTGAGGAGGCTGAGGCTGAGACAGGAGGATCACTAGGAGTGTGAGCTATATAGTGAGACCCTATACTAAATAAATACATACATACATACATGCATGCATGCATACATAAATTTTTTAAAAAGAAGCCTCTGAAGTTCAAGGGGGCTCTGAGAGTCTTGTGTTTTCTCCTGAATAGAGCTCAAGAGTTCAGTGCCTTAAACATCACAAACATTACCGTGTCGTTGCAGAATTAAAATTTATTTGTATATGAGAACTGACCTAAAACCAGATTCCAGAAGTCCAAATCAATTTCTTAAATGGAAGGATTTTCAACCACTTGGAGTTTCAGGCTCCGGCAGTGATTCTGAGCTTCCCATGTGGGTCACTCCCTGTGGCAGTGCCTCTGCCTCGAGCCCTGGCACTTGCCCTTTCACTTAGAACAAGCACCAGGACTGTTCACTTTTTAGAAAACTTGCCAGGAGGGGCTGGTGAGATGGCTCAGTGGTCTAAAGCACCTACTTAGAACAAGCTAAACTAAGCAAAGCACAGGG